TAACTCTTTGAGAAGAATTTTGAGGTTTTTGTTTTTAAATACAAAGTTTTAATTTTATGTTTCCTGTTAGCGTAATCTGGAGCCATGGTTTTCAAACTTTTTGATTTCCCAGAAGAAAATTCCAAAAAGATCGCAAATAATATTGGTGATTTCAATTATTTTTATTTTGCCAAATTGAACATTTAAAATGATTAGTTTAAAACTGCTATTATCATAATTTCAGAAAAGAAAGAGCATTTTAACGTGCAGGAAAAATGTAGAAGAGATGTGATGACTATCGTGGCTTTAGTTTTTCTCCCTAATGACCATCACAGGTGGGCGGCAGGAGATGAACATTTAGAAACCACTGAGTGATGGCAGAGGCCAGGTGCATTGGGGATTTAAGACCATATTGATATGAGACAAAACACAGAGTGTAAATGCGGGTCTTCGATAATTTTTCCCTTTTTCTTTTTTTGAGATGGAGTCTTGCTCTGTCTCCAGGCTGGAGTGCAGTGGCACAGTCTCAGCTCACTGCAACCTCCACCTCCTGGGTTCAAGTGATTCTTCCGCCTCAGCCTCCCAAGTAGCTGGGACCACAGGGGCATGCCACTACGTCCGGCTAATTTTTGTGTGTGTGTTTTTAGTAGAGACGGGGTTTCACCATGTTGGCCAGGATGATCTCGATCTCTTGACCTCGTGATCCGCCCACCTCGGCCTCCCACATTGCTGGGATTACAGGCGTGAGCCACCACGCCCAGCCAAGGATTTCTCCCTTTCTACAAAAAGCCTGTTTCTCTCTCCTTGCTTCTCAGTTTGTACTGCTGTGGTGACTGCCAGTTCACAGGCTGCTGTGGGTGTTTTCTGCACTCACACTGCCAGACCCAGGCTGGAACTGTCCCTTGGCTTGCATGACAGCACCTTCATGGTTTCTTCCTCCTTTCCTGGCCACTTCTAGTTAGTCTCTTTTGCAGGCTTAGTATTACTTGCCAGAGCTCAATGTAATCCCTACAATGATCATTTGAAGGCATGAAGACCATCACATTCATCCTACAGATTTTTTCCCAGCTAAGAACCATCAAGTCTTTCATCTGATCTTTATTCGTCATTACATCCACACTCTAGAGTCCTAGTTGCCCTGTGGATATGCTTGAATTTGCAGATGCCATTCTCAAAGAGCGATGCCAGGAACAGCATCAGGTAGAACAGACCCTGCCTGGCTGGGAAAGGTGTCTCACACCTGTAATCCCAGCACTTTGGGAGGCCGAGGTGGGTGGATCATGAGGTCAAGAGATGGAGACCATCCTTGCCAACATGGTGAAACCCCGTCTCTACTAAAAATACAAAAGTTAGCCGGGCTTAGTGGCACACACCTGTAGTTCCAGCTACTCGGGATGTTGAGGCGGGAGAATCACTTGAACTCAAGAAGCAGAGGTTGCAGTGAGTGAAGATCACGCCGCTGCACTCCAGCCTGAGTGACAGACGGAGACTTCATCCCAGGATTTTCGGGTTGACGAGTATCACTTTCCATTCTTACTGACTTAGGTTAATTGTTCTTTACACATTTCATTGTTAATCTCTTTAATCTCTCCTCATACAATTGTTGCATTTTGTCTCAGATTTGTAACTTTGCACATATGTTCACTTACCACTAAACTAGAAAAATTAAAAAGGCCTTTAAACTTCTTTTATCATGGGCCCCAGTTACATTGACTTTGGGATATCCAGCCATTGGATGTGAAGTTTTATTAATTTCTCAAATCTGCTTTTCTGTTTGGGAGGCTGAAGGAAAATACATCTTGAAGGAGACTTCCGTAGCTCAGCAGTTTCTGTATTTGACAGAGAACAGAGAAGCCCAGCTTACTTTAAACACTGGAAATTCCCTCACCAAAAGAAACCCTAGGCAATGAAGAACTTCTGCCTCTCTGATGGAATAAGGGTGTATTTGTGTCCTAGGACTGTTACAAATTATTAGAAACTTGGTGGCTTAAAACGACAAAAATTTCTTTCTCAGAGACCTAGAGACTAGAATCCCAAATCAAAGGGCAGCAGGTTTGAGCTTCTCTTGCCAGCTCTTGAAGAGAGTCCTTCTATGATTCTTTCAGCTTTTGGTGGCCTGAGCATTCCTTGGCTTCTGGCTGCACAATTTCACTCTCTGACTCCATCTCCACATGGCTTGTTTTCTTCTGTGTCTTCCCTTCTATCTTTTGTAAGACACTGTCATCAGATTTAAGACCCACGTGGATAATCCAGGATGACCTCATCTTGATGTTCATAATTTAATTACATCCGAAAAGCAGACCATTTTCCAAACAAGTTCACACTGACAGGTTTCAGGGAGTAGGATGTGACATGACTTGGGTGGGGGGTCAGGGAGACATTTCACCTACGGCCTCGGGTTACATGCTTACCAAGGATTCTGGGGCTTGGCTATGTAGTTTTAGTTTTAAAGCCCATCAGTCACCACCAATTACTCACATCATGCCACAGTTTCTTTCTTTTTGTTTTTTTTCCTTCTATTGCATCTACTTGTTGCATATCCCTGAGGTTGGTAAAGTTGGATATTTTGACACAGACAATACATTTTCTATGTGGTCTCCAAACAAGCTATCTGAACTCAATTTTAATTTCTGACCTGTCCTTGTTACTGAGCAGCTGTATCGTGACAGTAAAAGTTTTGTGAGTCTAGCATTCATGACATTATCACTAGGAACATCCTAGGCTGTGTGTGTATAGAGGCCTGAAAAAATGAATACCACAGAGTCAAGTTTCACCTGATGTAAATTTTGAGTTTGGTTTCTGGAGGGGAACCTTTATTAGATATGAGTTTTACAAATATCTTCCCTCCTCTGATGCCTGTTCTTTTCCCTTCTATCACTTTGTCCCCTTTTTGAATGGTAGATTTTGAGAAACAGAAATTTGTAATTTTACTGTAACCAAATATATTTTTATTGTTATGCAGCAAAGAATAAGTCTCAGAAACATACAACATAATGCTATGTACAGAGAATTTGGACACAGGCAAAGTAACGCCATATGTTGCTTGAAGATACACTCATTTGTAGCAAAAGTGTAAAACAATGCACAGGAATGGTCAGCACCAAATTCAGTACATCAAAGTTAATAGTAATGTTTTTAAGCTGAATGGCAGATATAAAACTAAAGAAGTTTGGAACTCACCACCTCTCCTCCTGCTGGCTTTTTCTACTTGGGGACAATGCGCTAACTTACAAAATCATTAATGTCACTTTCAAGCTTAACATCAGTTTTGCCACTGAACGTTCAACAAGGCTGTCTATGAATTCTGATTGAGCATGAGAACTGCACCAACTTAAACACGGCTTATGCCTTCTGTGCTACTAGGAAAAAATGTGGGGTATAAGGAAAAGGGAAAGAAAGCTTTACTTTATTGACATACCTATCATTAGGGTTTTCCATTCATGACTATTATATACTGTGCTTCTAGAACAAAAGTTCATAGTAGTCATTTGCTACTGAATTTTGTAGATCCATACCATTAATTTGTCTTTTTTTTCTTGTTTCATTTGTCCCCAGTAAACACACTATGTGTGGTAGAGACATTTTCCTTGGGATGGATTTTTATCCCGTGAAATGCTCACATGCCTGTTTTCTTGACTTCAGTTAGGAGAAGCAGACTTTTACAAAGAAAAGCCCCATGAAGACAGAGCAGAAACAGACGCCTCTCTCCTCTCTAAAAGTTGCATTTTGGTGCCATAGTGAATTCAAGTCAACAATTAAATGAACACTTATTGAGCACCTACTTCTTGGGGTGCTTAGCACCAGATACGCTCTCAGGAGTGTTCATTCTGCTTGGGGAAGAGTGAGGAAGGAAGGACTATGGACTAAATGTCTTTGTCCACCCAAAATGTGTATATCGAAACTGTAATCTCCAATGTGATGGTATTTTGAGCTAAGGCCTTTGGGAAGTAATTAGGTCTTGATGGTGGAGCCATCATCAGGAAATTAATGCCCTTAGAAGGAGAGACATGAAGGTGCGCCCTCTCTCTCCCTTTCTCTCTTTCCCTCTCCATCTTCTCTCTCTCCCTCTCTCTCTCCCTCTCCGTCTTCCTCTCTTTTTGTCTCTGTCTCCCTCTCTCGCCTTTCTCTCTCTCTCTCTCTCTCCCTGTATCTCTCTCTCTCTTTCTCCTGTCTCCCTCCCTCTCTCTCTTTACCTCTCCATCTTCCTGTCTCTCCCTTTCCCTCTCCGTCTTCCTCTCTCTTTCTCTCCATCTTCCTCTCTTTCCCTCTCTCTCCCTGGCTCTCTCTCCCTCTTTCTCTTTCCCTCTCCGTCTTCCTCTCTCTTTCTCTCTCCATCTTCCTCTCTCTCCCTCTCTCTCCCTGTCTCTGTCTCCCTCTCTCTCCTCTCTTCTATGGCCTCTCTCTTTCTTACTGTCATATGAGAAAACCATGCTTGATCTCAGACTTTCACATCTCCAGGTGTCTGTTGGTGAAGACACCCAGTCTGTGGTATTTCCTTATAGCAACCTGAGCTAAGACAAACATGTACGGCAATTCCTATAAAGGCAGAGGCGCTAAATTTGAGCTTCCTTCATTTTATTCTCATTTTCTCAATACCTTTCCTCCTTACCTAAGCTTAATACCCAGAAGCCAGTGCCAATTCTTCTAGTCAGGGGCACTGAGTAACTCTCAGGGGCCACTGGGATCTACCCAGGGGCTTGTGAGTGACCGCAGTGCTTTGGCTTTCAAAAGGGCAGAGACACAAAGTATCACATCTCTTCAGTTCTGCACAATAACCTTCTCTCGTCAGAAGGAATTGCTGAAGAATGAACTGCTCTTGGGGAAAGTTAGAGCCAGCTCTGACTTGGCCAACTGATTTGCTCCCTGAGAACAGCTATGTGGATTTTCCCCATTGGTCATTACCACATTGAAAGGACGTTGGTGTGGCTTTCATGATCTGTAACGTGGCAAAATGGTTTTAGGAACAGATGGACTGTGGGTGGACTTGCTCATTCTGCTGAGCATTCGAAAGAGATTTATTATTCACAGGTGTGATCATCCTTGCCTGCTTCTCCTTTGGAGGGCGGAGTTCGTGATGACTAGAGTTCACGTGCTATGTGATTAACTCTGCCTCATCAGGATTTGTAACATCCTAATTGCTCTACCTGATTCTTCCTGAAGAAAAAAATAAAGAATAAATTTAAAGATAAGTGCATTATCATAGGGCATTGAGAGTCATCCACCAATATAACTTTGGTTTTAAAATCTTTTGTTAAAAATATACATACATATGTAATTATGAAAATCGTAGTTAAAATAATGATGAAAATTATAATGATTAGAATAAAGCACTTGCTTTTAATAAATATACAAACAGGTAAATAACAATTAAGATGATAATAGTAAATATTGAATGCTAGAATGATGCTAAGGTTATTTCATAGATTTTTCATTGAATTCTTACAGTAACTTTCTGCAGTAAAAAAATATTTATCCACATTTCACAGTGAAATAAATACAAGAAGATTCTGGGAAGTTAAATGAAATGCCCACGCCAGGTGCGGTGGCTCAAGCCTGTAATCCCAGCACTTTGGGAGACAAAGACCAGTGGGTCATTGAGGTCAGGAGATTGAGACCAGCCTGGCCAATATGGTGAAAGCCCATCTCTACTAAAAATACAAAATTAGCTGGGTTTGAGGGTATACACCTGTAATTCCAGTTACTCAGGAGGCTGAGGCAGGAGGATTGCTTGAACCTAGGAGGCAAAGGTTGCAGTGAGCTAAGATTGTGTCATTATACTCCAGCTTGGGTGACAGAGTGAGACTCTGTCTCAAAACAAAAAAAATAAAAATAAAAAATGCCCAAGTGCCTGAAACTGCTGAGTGCTAGAGTCGGCATTTAAACCCAGGCCACCTTACTTCATGTTCATGCTTTGACTACTCAACTTCACTGCCTTCTGTAGAGATTTTCTCCCCCCGAAAAATTTGCTTTTGTGCCCTTAGTTCAGAGGGGCACTAAGGAAGAGAAAATGTCACATATGCTTATCAAAGAAGTTATTAGGAAATCTAGCCAAAGGGGCAAAAAGAGTATATCAGACACGAGGAAAAGAATTGGCAATGAAAGAAATTGGCCAATGTTATCTTCACCCTTACTCCATGCTGCACCCTCTCCTCTTCCTACTCACTCTTTGCGCCTCTGAAGAAATCATCAGTAATATTCTTCAGACTCAATACTCGTTAAGTGCCTCTGTCTTGCAATTAATAACTTCCATGAACATTAATCACTGGAGACCTGACATGCTTCAATTCAAAGACTATACCCAAGTGTTTATGGGCCATTTCCATGAAACAGGAAATAGCAGCGTTTTTCCTGAATAGTTGTCCTTAAATGTCTTTGCCAAAAATCACAGGGTGTATGCTTTTACCTGGTTTAATAGATGGAGGACTATAGTTTTTGCTTCCTCATCCGAAATTTTAACGAGCTTTCAAAGAAAGGCTCATAGACATGGCTTTGTTCACGTACAAAACTCCGAAGTTACGTTTCTTCAGAAAAGCACTGTAAGTTGGGGGCTTGAAACCTGAGACAAATTTTAAGAACCCCTCCTTTCCTCTCATTATATTTGTCTACTTGTCCACAAAAAGTTACATTTTTTTTTCTATTTTCTGTCTTATTAATATTAGCTAATATTCCTAGAGTGTTATTTTGTACCAAACCCTAAGCCTAGAGGCATGAGTTCTCAGAATAATCCCATGAGATGGGTACACTTGGAAAGACTGCCACATAGCGACCTTCAGTCACTTGCCCCAAATCACACAGCAGCAAGTCAGTGGCAGCACCTTTGAATGAGCTCAGGGTTTCACTCCAGAGCCTGCACTCCCAGCCACTCATGCTGCTGCCCCACTCAAAGGCTGGAACTCTGTAGCTTTTAGCTTTTCTCCTTTACCCCTTGTCTCATTAGTCCTGGGAAGTGTTGTTGGGGAGCACAGATTTCACACCCTGCATGAAAGAAAAAGGGCTTGGTGAGTAAAGTGAGAGAAGTGTGAGAACGTTCCATGCAATCGGGTCAGCTACTTTGGTGGTTCTAAGGAAGTGGACTTTCAGCAGCTCTGTGATCCAAAGTTCAGGGAAGAAGTAAAAGCAGGAAAGGAAAGGGGAGGCAAAGCTACAGGGCCGGACTGAGAGTCATTCGGGTTGACTCCTCCTGTGGAGTCAACCTTCTAAAGCAAGAACCCACCATTCGATCTGCACTTCCAAGAGGTTTTGCAATGAGCCATTCATTTTATTTATTCATTCAGCATACATCTTGACCCAGCAATTAGATACAGGGTACTATGCTTAACATGAGAAATACCAAAAGGAATAAGATGTGTGCCTGACGTAAAGAAGCTGTCACCCAGTGAGGGTGGTGAATGGAAGGGCAATGTAAAGTGACAAACAGCATGGCTTAGAGAAGGAAAGGAAATGGGTTGAAACCTGCAACCCACACACACAAGCTGTGTAATCACAGGCAAACCAGGTAACTCCTCTAACCCTCATTTTCCCCATTTATATGATTTCATGTTTAATGGATAGGAGGAGTGAAAATAATGCTTATGAAATATATCACAGAGTTCCTATCATGGTATACAAAATCAATAATGTTAGCTGTTATGGTCGTTATGTCAAGAAATAGTTGCCTTTTAGTGTAAGTCCTATAATGCATGTACATTCTATCATGGCAAACAAAGTCCATGATGATAAGAAAGATGCCCCAAAGCATCAAAAGATTTGATACAAGACGTAAATAATTATACGTTTAATAGGCAAACAAAATGGGAATCGAGAGGCATTCTAAACAAAAGCAACAGCTTCTGCAAAGGCAGAGGGACTGAAGAGAGTGATTGTGTTGGCTCAGGGGCTGGCAATTTGGGGGAAGCAGTGTGCAAAAATGGAGAGGGAGCCAGCAGCAGGACTTCTTGAGTCCTGTGGTCCTCACTGAGAAGTCTCTTTCCTAGCAAGTCCCTGGAGGTCATGGAATGAATAAAGTTGCAATAGTATCTGCTACACTTCAAAAAATTGATGGAAATAAATTTAGGTTAACAAATAAGATTTATAAAACCACAAATATTGTTATTTTCCAAAAGGAAAGCACCCTATGGCAACAAGCCTTGACCGTTTGCCAAAGCATAAAATATTTTCCACGGTGAGAGGAAGGAGAAAGCTGAAGGCTAAATGATCGTTCTGCTAAATGTATCAGTTCGTTGTATTCTTTCCTATATTAATTGCATGCTGTTTCTCCAGTTGATTTCTTATGCACTCAAAACATAAGAAAAATTAATCCGCAGCAAGCAAAACAAGAATGATATTTGAAGCACTGTGCCACTTTCCTGAGTTGCCTTTGGAAAGGGAGGTGGCGGTGAGTCCAGTGAAAGTTGTTCTGGCTGAACCACTCATAGATTTTTTTTTTTTTAAATGAAATCTACAACGATCTTAACACTTGCAGTGTTTCTACTGTTACTCCCTTATGCCAATAGTCCTTTGAACTTTAAATGACTTGCAAATGAAATACCAAGTTGAGAGGCCAAAAAATAATCCTGTGAGTGCAATATAACATTTATTCCTAGTACAAAGTGACCTCCCACTAAGGAATATGAGTCGCTTCAGCTTCGATGTTCTTGGAGTGTTGGCATAACAAAGGGGCAGGCGGGCTGATGGTTGTTTATCAGTACTAGAACCCATTTTGGCTGGATGATGTCAGAGGAAATCATCGAAAAATATAAGAGAGTGAATAAAGAAAAACGTTTTTTTTTTCCTGTTGAATTTTCAACTTAGGATATATCTAACACTTTTTTTGCACCAAGTGTATGTTGTTTAGCCCTTATGAAAATGTGGAAGGGCAGCCTTGTGAATTCCATGCAAGGAGCACACGTGAATTGTATGGTACTTTGGGGCCATTTTATCAGACCCAAATGATGAAATGCTCATTCTACCCAACTGCAGATCTAAATTGTGAAAGGGGAGCAATCAGCCTGCCTGTGCTTTGCAAGACATGCTCAGAAGATATTACTTTCCTTTTAATACAATTATGACGAAGATTAAGATGAGAACTTATTTGCTGAGCAACTACCATGTGCCATGTGCGTGGTCTTGTGCTTGGGTGCTCTACATATACGTCGTCTAAGCCAGACAGCAGTCCTGCCATGGAAACTTCTCTCCTATTTTGGCTCTTTCTTCTGAGAGGGGAATACAAGAAACGCTCTGGCTGGTGGCTCTGACCTCTCATTAAATGAGATGTGGCCGATCAAGGAGTCGCGAGTTTATTTTTAAGAAACACAAAAATCATCTCATTACCTTAACTCACTAGTATGAATCTCCAGATCCTGCCTTTCAGATCTAAGACAATAGCCTTAGCACATAATGAGTAAATGTTGTACTTAAAACCTTAGAATTTTATTTTTTGCGGCACATCTGACACAGGAGTTGTGCTTTTGAAATCGACAGAGTTGTAAGAGCTTATTTCTGACAGCAGAGGGCAGCCTATGCCTGTGAAAGGAATAAGAATCCCGCGCCGCCAGCCCTGGCAACTTCATATATACAGAAAATATGCGAATCTCCTCCCCCTTCTTTCTGTTACGTTTTTCTGAAAACTGTATCTAAATTTAAAATCGTGTTGTTAGATTAAGTCTTGGTGGAAAATAATCTTGAAAAAGATTATCTTTGATAAAATAAAGCCTGCTAATGAAACTTTTGACATGGTCATTCCCCTGGAGAAAGATTCTATTAGAGAATGATAAACTCTATTTATTTTATTTTTTGTCATTTTGACTTTTTCAATTTATAAAAAAAAATCAAACATGTAGAAAAACACAAAAGACATTAGAACAGATAAAGAAGAGTACCCATCACTTAGAGATATGAAAGCAAATTGTGTTCGATTTCAATTTGCATTTTCTAAGCACTGGAAAACTTGCCCTATTTACTAGCAAAGTCTGACTGAAAGTGGTAAATGAAAGAGACACTAACTAGACGCCAAAAGTTGGCAGTTGTCATCTTTTGTCTGATGCTAACTTGTTGAAAGATCTTGAAAAACATTACTTTAACTGCATAATAAAGAACATTGTTGAAACAGACGAGATAGATTTTCACCTTGATTCTGTCTGCTCCTTCTTTATGTACCTTGGACAAGTTATT